CACAACAAAACCAGCAATGATAGAGGTCTAGATTTAGATTAATTAAAGGACCGACTCAGTGTAATTACTTAACTTTAAAATCGCAAAAGCATTCCGAAGCTCATAACATATCCGTCTGTCTGGTTCAACACTAAAATATGCGCGATACCAAGAAAAGTGGTTTACCAGATACATCATACTGCATGGGTATTAGAATACAAATGGTACGGGTTTGAGGAACGTATCAGGAAAATTTGGGTATTTTACCTGTTATTTACTAGGATTGTGAAATTCCCCATTGTGAGTTTTTCGTTTTGCTTCTCCAGTATATGATATAGTGATTAAATGCCGTATTTGATTTGATACCCAACGCTTTACAACTAATATGATAACAGCTAATGCAGACTGGTAAATCGAGAACATCACTGAACAGGTTTTACAGTGATAAAGCTATTGACTTTCCGTCGGTGTCGAATACCAAGTAACCCAAGTTGTGAACCAGAAGAAGCTTACATTACCGAAACACCTGGTCTTATTTCCGGTTACATTCTAAAGTGTGAATTATTTTGCCCACTTTTTATCAATGTCTGAATAACGATAACAATGATATGTCGGTACTCTTGATTGTTTCTGAAGCGGTTTGACTTTTATCTGAATAAAAGATTTAAACAAAATACTTCACTATTCTTTCATCATATTTTCACGTAAATTGTAACTCAATGTCTTTTAAAGCAACTTTTCTAGATACTTAGAAAGTAATAAACTTCCTCCGCTATGTTACGGGTTCTATATCATATATGGAAACGGGTGGTGCGTGTTGGGCACATTTTCAATCAAAGTATTGGACGTGCGCCTGGAAGACGACACTAGGCAAATACGTCATTTGTAAATATAAGGCATGTAATCCAGACATATCGATCCCGCGGACATCCGATCGTTAACAAAAACAGCCATTTGTTTGGTGAAAATGCATGAAGCATAAAAAATAACAAGGTTGCCTTAACACTGTTTCGACATGTACGTATCGGCAAACGAGGTATTAAGTTTATCTACGAAGATATATAGAAGCCTGATGATCGAACCTCTTTTATCATGTAAGGCGATGACCGTATGAATCGCATACAACTAAGGAAAATATTCTGTGCTACCACGAAAGCACATCAGTGAAACATTTGTTAAACATTTTGAAATACATAATCTGATAACGGCTATACAAAATATCGTATATGAAGTTGATAACGTTAATATCATGTGATAATTAGATAAAGAAAAACGTCCCGTAATTAAAATGGCTATAAACGTATATGTTAAACCATGTTACAGAAGGGCATCGTCAGTTGATTTTTTAACATGATGGACACCTTGAAGAAAAACAAAACTACAGTGATATAGGAAAGTTACTCTGTAAATTAAGAATGAAAACGACTCAAATGTTGTTGATCATCATTCCACGTCTATCTAAAGGTTAGTAACAAAATTCCTTCTTTTATGGGCTAGGCTTCCTTCAGTTGGCGTACCGAAATGGCTAATTGTAACCCCGTATTCTGATTCTATAGCGAGACTATTTCAATCTGGTGATTTGTTGGCGTTTTTTTTTTTTTATCATTTATTTTTTTTTTTGCCTTTTATTTATTTATTTTCCTTGAACTTGAAATTGAAAAATATGAAATTCTCTTAAATCGTTGCAATTTAGAAATAGGATTACAATTAGTTACCTGTTAAAAATTAAATTTTGATATGTAAATATAAAAGTTTCCATCTTTGTTGTATAAACTGGACGCGTTTGTCTTAGAGGCATGCTTCCTTTAGATGTCGTTGACGGACTTTTTACTTCGAAGACTTGAACATGCTACGTGTTAACACCATCCATCCCTGTTGGAATAGCCAAATATCACCAGAGAGCAGGCGAGACCAATTGTTGATGTTTGTGACGGCGATGAATTACCAGCACGATCCATATAAATGTTTACTCAGAGTGTTTGTTTAGCTCAATTAATCATTTATTATTGTATAATCAGCATGTTTGTTTAGTTTAATTAATCACTTATGTTTACGAACTAAAAAAACTACACCCATAATGCATGTGGTGTAGATCCATGTAACCTATATAATTACACCCACGACAGACGTATCAATTACAATTTGTTACATAGACAACCTAGGCGAGATTGTCGTGTGTGACAACGAGGCGACAACAAAGCCCGACGGAACAAAAATGTCTACTTGATGATAAATTAACAACAGCAACAGCCCCAGTCTTCACAGATTCTGTAACGGATTAATGTACTTTTAGTTATACAAGCTTAAAGTCATAAAACTGTCAAAGAATATTCTCTTTTCTCCAGAATGGCTTAAATATATGGTGTGTAATCATGTTCAATGTCATATGTAAAATATATATAAATGGATGAGATTTTCGGGAACTAAACATATATCACATAATGTTTGAAATGTTATATAGATGCTGTAATAATTATGACACACAGGACATTTACAATAATCTAATCCTGACAGAGAACGTGAGCCATTTTTCCTGTCTATGAAATAAAATAACCCAAATCACCGTTTGTATAAAGCAAAAATAACGGCATTGGAAAAAAATGGTGTTCTCCCTTCCATTTCTCTCACTGAACATTGCCTCCAGTAAACAACATTGAGAGGATGTACATCTGTGCTACCACGAAAACACATCAGTGAAACATTTGTTAAACATTTTGAAATTCTGTTTACATAATCTGATAACGGTTACTTAGATACAAAATATCTGGTGAGATCGACATCTTGGAAGATTTGATAGGAGCGTTAATATCGATATAAACTGCAATGATAATTAGATCCTGAAACGACAACACATGTAGCATAGGAGAGAACCGAGATATCTTTACAAAACTAACAAAGTATAACATGATCACGTGACCTAGGGGGTTCTTGAGAAATTTCAACCAAAATTACCAAATAAGGTGTGAAATATTCACGTGTGGTCCAACAGAATACATATGACGTAGGAGAGATCTTGCGAGATCTCGATCACATGTTCCGACGTCTAAGATATGACATATTCACATGTGTCGTCAGGAAATTTCTCGCGAGAATTAACCAAACGTTTTTCTGTTCTCCGCTAGACTACTTTTCGAAAATACAGATTACCGGTAAAAAGTTGCAACTAAGACAGGTTATCTAGTCTACCAAACTTAACAATTACTAGGTAATGGAATATTCACATGTGACGTACATGTAGGAGAGTTCGCGCGAACTCTTTACCGGTTCATAACATTTGAAGATTTAAAAGGGGGAAAAGGTTCGAGAATCCTGTTTGATACCGCTGATTTTTTTTGTCCTTGTGTTACCTACAGGACCCAAATATAGACATCACACTGTTACACTGCGGCCTATGTAGTCAGAGATATATAGAGTCTGTCAACAAATAACTCATTAGCAGTGCTTCGCTGATGTTGTTTGACTTAATCTTGTTTTAATGAATCATCCGTCAGCTGAAATAAACTGGTATCTACTTCCATCCCTTTTTATCTAATCGATTCTCATTACACCGCTTAACAACTCTCTTTCCGGTGTCATGTCCGTCGTAAGATCTTTAAACGCAAAACTCTAATTATATCATCAGTTGTTCATAACTTTTAAATCAGATCACACGATAGGTTTAAATCCCTTCTGTAAAAAACACAACATTTGGTATACACATTTCTCTAAAATTGGCTGACATAGACCCACTGGTTCGAATTTGTTGGCAATTTTACATAAGAAATACCAGATAAGATTATGTGTTGAGTAACCCTATCTACTTTGTGTTTACCATCAACGATCAACAGGATTATATTTGGAACAGACACCAGCTGGACTTTCTCTGATGGACGACAACTCTCCTCAACTATCGCTTCTCCAACACCCTCCCACCATCATTGTACGGGAGCATGTATATTATGTCGTTGTTTCTTTCATAATTCTCCCGAAATACCTTTCTTATTTTTTTATGTAACTATACATAACAAAAAAATCAACTTTAACCAAAAAATACCTAAACCCAAACATACAAAACTCAATCCAACAGAAATCAATCATCAGCTGCCACGTACACTACACACCAACAGAAACTGAATGTATACACCCACACATACCAAACTATACACCAACATAAACACAACTATCAACATTAGAAAAGAATATTGATAAAAACTTAATTTCATCGACAACACTCGCCATGTAAATCTTGGTCAATTCAAGTAAGTCATGTCACGTTCTCCAATGAGAACAAGCTAAATAGGAACAACAGGTTCACTAACGAGCATCAAACACGTCCAGCTTCATATCGCACACGAAAGTAGTATGTTCGGGATAGAGATAATTATGATGACCGTAAAACTTCCCCACCAATCTACATCTCTCAAAATAAATGATGACGTAATGAGGTAGGCGCCCGTAATGATGACGTACTCACCTATCGTTGTGGTGACGGTGATGGAAAACAGTCACCCGTAGTGATGACGTACTCACCTATCGTTGTGGTGACGGTGATGGAGTAGAGACTCCCGTAGTGATGACGTACTCACCTATCGCTGTGATGACGGTGATGGAGTAGAGACTCCCGTAGTGATGATGTACTCACTTATCGTTGTGATGACGGTGATGGAGTAGAGACTCCCGTAGTGATGACGTACTCACCTATCGTTGTGGTGACGGTGATGGAATAGAGACTCCCGTAGTGATGACGTACTCACTTATCGTTGTGGTGACGGTGATGGAGTACTCACCCATCGTTGTGGTGACGGTGATGGAGTAGAGACTCCCGTAGTGATGACGTACTCACCTATCGTTGTGGTGACGGTGATGGAGTAGAGGCTCCCGTAGTGATAACGTACTCACCTATCGTTGTGATGACGGTAATTGATTACTCACCTATCGTTGTGGTGACGGTGATGGAGTAGAGGCTCCCGTAGTGATGACGTACTTACCTATCGTTGAGATGACGGTGAGGAAGTTAACCGACGTAGCGATGCTGTACTCACCTATCGTTGTGATGACGGTGATTGAGTAAAGGAGTGCTCCAGCGAATGACCACTGTACTTCACCCTCGCCGTCTTTACCATCCCAGCCCTCCTCCTTGGTGGCCTTGTAGATGAGGGTCTGGAAGTCCCTGAGGATTTCGTCAGCTGCTATGCTCCAGTTGGCTGTATGTAACACGTTATACAGGTAAGTGATGTTCCACAGCCTGTCCACTTGGACCTTTCGGTGGGCTGCCACATTGGCACGAGCTGTCTTTTCATAGGGAGCCTCCAACTCTTTGAAAATGAATCCCCCGAGAATGGAATAAGCGACTACGAGAGAACACATTCCTATGTGAGAGAAGAGAAAAGCGACAAACTGCTTACAACATTTCATGCAGCGTTTGCCACGTCGATTTTGAGATTTTGAACGATTTGGAGGTTTTTTGTTGAGTGTCTTTGAATGTGTTGAAGATTTCGGATACACTTCGTGATTTTTATGTTTTCTTGATTTTCCACAGAAACAACAGGCGCAACATCCCAACTTCCGGTCTGGAGGGGTAAAGTAAGGATCGTCCCCTTCACTACAATGACCGTTTTCTGGAGATGTGAAGGACAGATTTTCTTGTTGTATGTCATCTTCTCGTCTGCCACTAATGCCACTCACTCTGCTCACGTGCAAATGCACATCATCTTCGCCGTCATGAACAATCTCAGTGTCGGCCTTAGAAAGTATCCTTTCAATCTCTTCGTCACTTCCTGTATCATAATCTGACATATGTTCCTTAACACTCTCAGATTCCATAACGAAATAATAATGTCACATCAGTCCCTCATTAAACGTTGGTTCCCTAATATCCGGCTGATTCACATCAGCTATAATAACATTTCTGGTGCTCGCCGGCCATTTTTTATCATGTCCGCCGTGATCGCTGGTCGCAGTAATGTCCTTTATAAGTATGATCATCCGTCATTACCTGTCAACAGAGATATCTAACGTAAGTTTGTACAGCAGTTATAAACATTAATGTCCAATAATATGCATAGTCCTCATCAGATGTCATCATTCAAATTACAAAGCACTTGTCAACCATAACATAATACATAAATATTGTTACAGCATAAAATAAACTAACTTTAGACGAACGTGTCCAAATTTTGGAGTTGTATCTTTATAAATACATGTCCGCACATCCAAATACTCTAATTTTATAATAGGTGTCTGATTATGATGTGAGTACAGACGTTGTGGAGACGGCCATTCATTCAGCGCTGTTGATCTATTTGACATCTTCCGCATTAGTTAATATTTTACGGTCACAAGATAACAAGTATTTAATGGTTTGTCTACGGTATGAATGAATGTATCGGATTTTATTTGCCTATATTTCATCTCACGAGGGAAGTCGAACCTCCATAACATTCACATCCATACTACACACGGCTACGTGAAATACACTAACTATAGCTATTTATCTTTAGTGTAGAAAGATGGTTTTGGAACGAAATAAAACAAAACAAAAATGGATAAATTACCTCATATATCAGAGTTATTTGCGCATTAAGATATATCATTAAATATGAAACGGGAAAACTTTACAACAGCTGACAACCTTCTCTGTGATGAGAGGCTAGATAGCGGGAAAGTGTATGCCAATTGTACTTCCGGGGATACTTGGGCGAGAAACCCGGCAGTACCCGACCGACACAGGTGGCACAAACCAGGAGCTGCCAAGTGCTGAGTTCCTCTGAATCATTGCTAGAATGTGATGTCAGTGATTCGAACTATATACAAACCCCGCTGTGGTGACATAATCTTAATTCGCACAACCAAAGATTTGCGATGGCCATTATATACAGAATCAAATCACTTTTCACTTCGATAAAAACAAAACCTGGCAACAACTCCTTAGGAATGTGAATCTTTCGTTGACGATTATCGCCTGGTTTTATTAGTGTTGTGGTGTGGGAGGTAAAAAAACTGAGTAATCAGTTTTATCTCGCGCGAGTGCACCACGCGACGTGAAATATCTATCGTGTTACTTATTTATAGCATATAAATGCACAAAATGGCGCGTATCCAGACTAGTGAGGGATACCCAGCTCAGTGATCTAGAACTTCAGTGATCAGAGAATGTCACCCATTTAAACACATCCCATCCCCCTCCTCGTTACTGACTCCCCAGTATGCCAGACGATGTTCTGATATAGTGGAAATTTCACTCTGGAAACAGGTGTCTGTAAATAACACTATATATAAACTAAGTCTGTTTACTATCCTTCTTGTGTCAATCATTTTCTCTGTTTCTAAACCAATAAGATCACATCGGTCGATTTCATCGCTTCACGAGAAAATAATATTTACAGTATTCCGTAAATACTGGTTCTTTTTACATATTTATTCTCTCATAAAAACGTCAAAGTTAAATAAAAGTATTGGTGATGAATAGTTTTTCGCTTGTGACTACAAATCAAAATTTTATATATATACATGTAAGTATAACAGTATATAAACATGCATGATTAACTATACATAACATGCATGGCTGGAGTATTGTAAAATATTACGTCAAATAAAAGAGTAGACGATCACACCAAGGCCTTCGTCAAAATAAGATTGTTAAAGATCACACCAAGGCCTTCGTCAAAATAAGATTGTTAAAGATCACACCAAGGTCAACGTCAAATTAAGATTTCAAAAGAGAACGCCAAAACAACGGCTTGAACAAGTAATCACTGCATTCCGTTTCTAGTTTAAAACTATATTGTTTCTCGACGACAAAGGCACACATCAAATCCTTCTATATTCGCAATTTCCCATTAAAGCACAGTTTCTCCGTTGTTGAAACTTCGCATCTAAATCCCTATTGCCAGTTCCTATCCTCAGAAATCACTGAGCCTCTATCCTACTAAACACAACGCTAACAAGTTGTACAACCTCTACTTTCACTTTCCATTACTTTAACTTTAAAGTGGTTGCATGTGACCTTGACTCCTTTCAAGTAATGAAAAATCAGAGGGTCATCACGTCTAACCTCGATCTGTAAGATCTAAGAATCATCAACATTTTTGCACTTTGTCTTTAATTTCTCGATACTATTTCCGTGTTTGTTTTACGTGTTTTCCGAAGAAAACAGCAAAGCGATGTTTCGAAAATAGGCATTGGGAGATAATTGTGTCGTTAACATATGGTTGAAATGAACAAAAAATATGCAAGGCGAGTTATTATAATGGTAACAAACACCAACACCTGTGTTTATTTAGTATAAGACATAATCTTGATAGATGAATATCGAACGCCTTCCACAACAAATTCCAATCACTAATCATATTAGACACGTGCACGAGTTTTCTACGATAAGTCCGATGCAACACAGTTGATACTACAGCTATTAAAAACCAATTGTGCCTGTGAATGATATAAAATATAACTTCAATTTTTATGTTTGATGTTTCCATTTAGCTGAGTCGGGTTTATTGTATCGACAGCATTAATAACAATTCAGCTCAAGCGTCATCAGGAAGCAGATGAATCATCATAAAGCGCTACCCATTCAAGTCACAAAGGACATAACTTTTGATTTCTTATGCCATTCCGTTTTATCTGGACAATATCCCAATTCTCTCTGTCGTTTCTGGAATGATACTATATTGTTTATTATCACTTACAGCAGCAAACAAGCATTCAAATGCAATCAAATTGTGACTACAAACCCCTGATGATTCTTGACAAAATCAGACATTCCTAACATGCTTCTTGTAACATCAGCCATATCGAAGATTTTATGTCGGTCATGAAGATAAAATGCTTTTATTTATATGGTTCTGTTAAATGGGTCGCGTTTCAAAGTTACAAAGCACCAACGTACAATTACAGGATGGTACAGTTACATATCATTTGTGTACATTTGTAGGGCGCGCGAGTACAGTTACATAGTGCTCGTGTACATTTATATGGCGCGCGAGTACAGTTACATAGTGCTCGTGTACATTTATAGGGCGCGCGAATACAGTTACATAGTGCTCGTGTACATTTATAGGGCGCGCGAGTACAGTTACATAGTGCTCGTGTACATTTATAGGGCGTGCGAGTACAGTTACATAGTGCTCGTGTACATTTATAGGGCGCGCGAATACAGTTACATAGTGTTCGTGTACATTTATAGGGCGCGCGAGTACAGTTACATAGTGTTCGTGTACATTTATATGGCGCACGAGTACAGTTACATAGTGCTCGTGTACATTTATATGGCGCGCGAATACAGTTACATAGTGCTCGTGTACATTTATATGGCGCGCGAGTACAGTTACATAGTGCTCGTGTACATTTATATGGCGCGCGAGTACAGTTACATAGTGCTCGTGTACATTTATAGGGCGCGCGAGTACAGTTACATAGTGCTCGTGTACATTTATATGGCGCACGAGTACAGTTACATAGTGCTCGTGTACATTTGTATGGCGCACGAGTACAGTTACATAGTGCTCGTGTACATTTATATGGCGCACGAGTACAGTTACATATCATTTGTGTACATTTGTAGGGCGCGCGAGTAGTTAGATAGTGCTCGTGTACATTTATAGGGCGCGCGAGTACAGTTACATAGTTCTTGTGTACATTTATATGCCGCGCGAATACAGTTACATAGTGCTCGTGTACATTTATATGGCGCGCGAGTACAGTTAGATAGTGTTCGTGTCCATTTATATGGCGCTCATGCAGTATATAAGTAATCGTGTTCATTTTCTTGGTGAACTTGGTGTAAAGTTACATGGCACTTATCTACATTTATATGGTGCGCATGAATTAAGGGCATCTGTGTATTTGGCGCGCGAAAAGAGTTGCAGGACAACCGTATATATGGCGGGCGGGCAGAGTTACAAGGTACCCGTGTATAAGGCGCGTGGGCAATTACAGGGCACCCGTGAATATGGCGCGCGGGCAATTACAGGGCACCTGTGAATATTGCGCGCGGAGAGAGTTGCAGGACAATCGTGTATATGACGCCCGGGAAGTTACAGGGCACCCGTGAATATGGCGCGCGGAGAGAGTTACAGGGCACCTGTGTAACTTGTGTACGGATTCATGGCAGTCGTAAAGGTCCACGTGACGCACATAAGCAATGCTAAGGCATCAAATGTATAGGACGGAAAGCAATCGTTGTGGCTTTATTGATTCAAAACAATGTTTTTTAGATCATTTTTCAGTGTTTTATTGGATCGGATCAAACAGCCGGTAACCGATTTTGCACAGTGTATGTATCTACTACATCTCTTAATCAGCTCAATCATCAGCCAGTGTAAATAAAAACAATTTCCGTACAGGCTTAAGTCATCAACATACATCAATCACATAATCATTTAACCCACATCGATCCGACAAGTTTTCCACACAATTTCAGTATAATATACACGGCCTTCAATTACGGTATGTCATTCTCCTTCTACCCATTAAGATCGATATACAGATTGAATCTTTGTATGAAATGTTCCTTCACGTTACAAGTTGATTTTTTATTGTTTAATACGTGTGATGTGGCTGATTTAAGCCTTCCGTAAGGACAACTGTATTACATGGTAGAGAATCTTGGCCAGATTACATCTGCTGTCGGATTATTCAGTCAGGTAAAATAACATAAAAGGACAAGCACGAGGAATTATAGATTTTATCTTCCAACCGTCCAGGTTTTTTCCTTTATAAAAGGAGGTACATGTGTAATCGTGGTAATATTGTCAGCATCTGTACCCGGGTTAACGACGGGATGTCTTCAATAACTCTATGCCCTACACAGCCACTATCCATAC